GATAATAATAATAATAATAATAATAATAATAATAAGAAGATTCATTATAATTATACAATTTGAGTACTACAAACCAACTGAGGAAAAGAACATTCTTTTTTTTCATCGTTTCACAGTAACATTTCCGAGCGCAAACAGTTAGGAAAATGAAATAAACTACCGGATGAGGGAGTTAACTTAATTACAGTTTTAAGATTTTGTATAGTAACTCATAATATTATTACAACTAATACCGTATCATTATATGTGAAAGTACAAAGTTTAATAATCCAAATCCATTATTCAATACATCTCGTGAAATAAATCCGATCCAATTATACGTATATTACACAGTTCACAGTAATATGCCAAGAAAATATTTTCACACGCAATCGCCCACAGTCGAAGACTTCTGGAGCAAAAAAATGATTAAGAAAGAAAGGGAAAAATTACAATAGAATTAGAACTGGGCGTGGATACATTATTTGAGGAGATGGGAACGTAATTACCAGATGATTATATAGTTTTAGAGAAATAACAACAGGTGACCAGCTATATCAAACTGTTAATTTGAGCCGTGTCACGACAAAACCAACGTAATGCGTTTGCGACCAGCATGGATCCAGACCAGTCTGCGCATCCGCGCAGTCTGATCAGAATCCATGCTGTTCGCTATCAGTTTCTCTTCTTGTAATAGGGTTGGTAAGCGAACAGCATGGATCCTGATCAGACTGCGCGGATGCGCAGGCTGGTCTGGATCCATGCTGGTCGCAAAGGCATTACGTTGGTTTTGTCGTGACGCGGCTCATTTGTCTCCGAAGATGTTTATTTGTCTTGATTTATAATTTACCGTCGGGTCTGATTGAGCAATTTCACACGAAATATCAAAGTACTGTAAGCAAGTTAATATGAATGATTTTTTTTTTACATTTGTATTTGTCACATGTATATTGTTTATGAATATATGCAAACTTGAATTTATATTGAATACAATTTTGTAACTTGAAGTAGAAAAATTCATTGAAATATATGAAATTCTTTCTAAATATATATAATTTGAATAAATGAGCCGCGTCATGACAAAACCAACATAAAGGCTTTGCGACCAGCATGGCTCCAGACCAGCCTGCGCATCCGCGCAGTCTGATCAGGATCCACGAACCCTATTACAAATAGGGAAACTGATAGCGAACAGCATGTATCCTGATCAGACTGCGCGGAGGCGCAGGCTGGTCTGGATCCATGCTGGTCGCAAACCCACTATGTTGGTTTTGTCGTGACACGGCTCATATAATTTAAATAAATGAACATACAAACTATGTATGAAGATACAGTCCTTATTTTGGTTCAAGTAAAGATGTTCCTTTCTTTAAAAAACTGCCAGTTTTTTTATGACACTATATATTCATATTGTGTCCCCCCCTACAGTGTGTAGGGGTTAAAACATGTATAAAGTCAAAACACGTTCATTTTATACTTAAAATGAGACTGTGTAGCAATTATAAATATTTTCAAGTTTAAAGTTTTAGCAGTAATTGAATATTGCACATAACAGTATTACTGCAAAGAGCATACATCAAAATAATTTTGTTTTATTTCACAAGGTAAGAAACATTAATCTTCCACGATTCTGTCGTTAAAACAAATTATTCTTGACTTTTATTAACAAAAGACCGCGATGATTTGATCTCAGTCATATAAACCACATATGGTGTCAAGTGTTTCTTCTAAAACACATATTGAATCTTAAATTTCTTAAAACCATAAGATTCAATTGTTCACACGGCTTAGAATAAAATATTCACTTTAATTAAGTTCTAGGCATTTATTCAAATCAACATAATATTATAATGGTTCCAAATGTAGCTTAAATGTAAGAAATGTCAAAAAAAAAAATGTCTGTAATGCAAAGCAGGAAACGCAGATGGATATTTCACAAAATTGTAAATTATAACCAAAGTCAAAATTACTGTTACTTCATTGAATGATCTATTCTGTACAGGCACATAACTATTGTAATAGTTTTATAATAGATACTATATCAAAATAGTGCAATAGTTAAGATGTTTTAATTTACATTTTATCTTCTCAGACCATGATGATGATGATGATGATGATGATGATGATGATAATAATAATAATAATTATAATAATGATGATGAATATCATATTCAGTTCTGGAACATTTTCATTCAATTAAATTGACTGAATTTTATTGATAAAATAATAAAAGTTTCTGTTTAATTAAAGTATTGCGTTAAAAAAATAGAATAATATTAAAGCATAATTATGTATTACTTGCAGAAACGCAGACAGACGGACGGACGGAAAATTCTATAAACGTAAACAATACAATCTATTTTCTTTGTTTTTACTGGTGAAGGATTAAGTTATTGATCATATACAAAACAATAAAAACGTTTTAAATGCATCCAGTAGCGTTATTTTCAAACGAAAAGTAAACTTAAACTATTTCACTGTCTATTTAATAAGTTTACTACAAATGGTTACTTCCCTTTGAAATCTGATAAACTTTACCAACAGCTAGCTACTGTAAAGCTTGTTGATATATGATGAACTATCACCGTATGTTTAATGGGGATATAGCTCAGTGGTAGAGCATTCGACTGCAGATCGAGAGGTCCCCGGTTCGAACCCGGGTGTCCCCTGTACTTTTTTTCATTTTTGAATTAAACACTTCATGTATTTGGATACAGAAAGCTGCTATAAATAATTTTATGAATAAAATGTCAACCGTTTTATACGTCGCTTCTATGCAAGATCACCTGGGATAAATAATTTTTGTGAGATTTATTTTTAGAAATGTTATAGTGTTTTTATCGATAATTCCTGAGAATATATACATGTAAGTAATTGGTTTCTTATTGGATAATAGCCAATAAATCAAGTAATTATGATAAAATCAGACTTTTTTCCTGATTAAAATAGCCATTATGATAAAAATGTCGGTGTTATTTTTAGTCTTGAAGATAAAATACAGAACAGGCAGACTTGTTTTTTTTATATTGCACGGTTTTCTCGTGATTATCATCTCAAACTGATTCTTTTAGTCCAAAATGCTAATTTTTCGTCGTAGTTTGAGTTCAAATATAAGTTACTGTACCATTTTAAATGGGATATAGTGCAGTGTTAGAGCGTTCGACTGTGAGGTTTTCATTTCGAGCTCCTGACTAATTGTGTTGAATTTATGTTGAAAGAAATGTAAAGCTACAACTAGTTTCTTATCGAAGTAAGTGGTGTCTGTAGATTAAATAGTATAATGGTGTGATTTCAACCTTCATCCTTATCCCGATTTTTTTGTGCGATCCATGCTGTTCGCTATCATTTTCTCTACGTGTAATATGTTGGTAAGCGAACAGCATGGATCCTGATCAGACTGCGCGGATGCGCAGGCTGGTCTGGATCCATGCTGGTCGCAAACGCACTATGTTGGTTTTGTCATGCCGCGGCTCAAATATTTACGAAAAAGTATAGAAAACAACTTGAAAGGGAATAAAGCTATTATATCTAATGACATTTGTTTATATATAAAATTTATAAACCGTAAAATTATGTTGTTTACAGAAGGTTTTATAACATAGAGTCTCTTTTTTAATATTACACGCATGAATAATGTATGTAAACAGAATAAATTGTTACGATAAAAAGTTATGCTGCTATTTTAAATAGGATTTTAACCATTCAGCCCATAAAACAATATACCAAATTATTTCTTTCGTACAGATATCAAGTAATTATTAATTTTCAAAATACAAACACAAATTTTGTAAAGTGCAGCAGCAGGGAAATAGCTTAATACACTTCAAGGAAAGAAAAACACAAGGAAGTTTAAATACAATGACATTCTCTGTATTGCATCATACAATAAAATATCATAGTATGGTCATAGATAAATTATAATATTGTAATCATTTAGAATATTGATTTAAAACCCCCTAACAAATAAACAATTCTGAATTCATATTAAGACGAGTCTACTTTACCAAAATTGGTGGTGAGAGGGTAAATATATTTGCGTCAAACTACCGATATGAATTTAAACAGATTAAAAATTGAATTTCATCATACTATAAGAAATCGTTAGAAAATCAAATTGAAATATAAACAAATAATATGGGGATATAGCTCAGTGGTAGAGCATTCGACTGCAGATCGAGAGGTCCCCGGTTCGAACCCGGGTGTCCCCTGTTAATTCTTTTTTCCATGGAATTCTTGGGCCACACTTATAAAGTCTCGGCTTCAAGGATTAGTGTATTTCTGTATTACACACGGTGATACGGAGGTCAGTCCGTTTTGACAGATTAGCAAAATGAATAATAAAGAATATTTATCATTAACATTTTTCTATTTGTTAACATTAATTTCATTTAGTGATTTTTCATCATGATATGATACCAGTTCTTACACCTTTCAGTCACATGATTATGCGCATTATTTCTTACTGTTATATCTATGCGTTAGTACCTCACACAAATATGTATGCATATTTTACATGATAATATTGTATTTGGATGACAATAATTGCATAATCTCTTCCGAAAAGTTCGTTTACATAGCAACATTGTTAAAAATACCTTGTTTATTTTATATGACTTATATTAATAATAGATATATGATTATTAAAGACACAGTTGAAAAGTTATCGTTTGATATTAAATCAATTTAATATGCTTACTATTACTTTCTAAAAAAGTTACTTACTTCATTTGCGTAATAAATAAATGATATGAAAGTATAAAAAAGGATAAAAAACATTTATTTTTGTCTGATATGTTGGTCAATCTTTAAAGACCTGTCCCTGTTTAATACTTTCTCTTTCTAAATTTAGATTTTACGATAAATATTTTAATTTTGCCAAATTGAATAAAGATAAGAAAGCAGGTATTAAATAAATCTATCTTAAATTGTAAACACACTTAAAAAGGCAATTAATTGCATCGTATTCATGATCAGGAAAGAAAAGAAACATTTAGCAGATCAAATTCAACAAACATAACTAAGGGGTTATAGCTCAGTGGTAGAGCATTCGATTATACATCGAGAGGTCCCCGGATCGAATCCTGGTGACCCCTTGCTTTTACCAATTTTTTATATTGGAGAAAAGTGTATGTAGCCTTTAAACTACAATAACAAAAAGTGATTACGCATTGAATTTTGTCAACACTTAAGAACCAGACTTCTGTTGGTAGCTTCAATTTGAAATCCCTAAAAATTCAAATGGACTGTTCCAAATTCATAGAAATTGATTCCTTTAGTAGCATTGTACTAGTTAGGAATAGGGAGTGGTGGCCTGGTTAAGAATCGAACCGAAAAGTAGATCAAATCAGTTTCATGACCTCTTCATAACTGAGATTAAATATTTTTGAAAGCCATCAGCAACGCAACAAAGGCTTTGGAACAATATAAGTAAGAACTTCTTATATATGAGCCGCGTCACGACAAAACCAACATAATGGGTTTGCGATCAGCGTGGATCCAGACCAGCCTGCGCATCCGCGCAGTCTGATCAGGATCCATGCTGTTCGCTTACAAACCCTATTACAAGTAGAGAAACTGATAGCGAACAGCATGGATCCTGATCAGACTGCGCGGATGCGCAGGCTGGTCTGGATCCATGCTGGTCGCAAACCCATTATGTTGGTTTTGTCGTGACGCGGCTCATATGCATGTACTAGTTTCTTAATATACAAACAATAATCAATAACTCCTTCTTGAATCAATTAGAAATCGCTATCAATTCATTAAAACTTATACTTTGTCTGTCAAGGGGAATTAATAATATCGTAATATTGCTAAATATACCTTTTAACATGACAATAATCAATTTAAGAAGATTAAAGGAAAATTAAAGGAAAAGATCAAACGCAAATTGTAAAAAAATAGGAAATCTATTTAAATCCCTGTTTCTGAATTAATACTATGAATTACATTGACAAATTAAGCGGTGAAGGTAGGGGTTCAAATATTATTTTTATACATTACGTCAATCTATATTTAATTTTATACGTACTGTAAAATGACAATTTATATTAACACATTTCATCATATTGTAAAATACTATTATATAAAACTTAAATATAAGGGGATATAGCTCAGTGGTAGAGCATTCGACTGCAGATCGAGAGGTCCCCGGTTCGAACCCGGGTGTCCCCTGTTAATTCTTTTGTTAAATCTTTTAAAACAAGCTTTAGAAATATACAAATTTAATTGAATCAAATCATAATGTTTTTCCTATAAATAGAATTATCAAAACTTTAATGAATAATGTTTCCTAAAATTGTTGACTTAATTGACTATAATAGCGTTTTCAAAAAATCTGACTCTAGTATAAAGTAAATGTTGTGCAATCATATAAATATCACGCTTGACTGCACCGCTTTTGATGATAAATGAAACACTAAAAATCTCACGTTAAAATTTTCTTAAAATTTCATAAACAAATTAAATAAAAAACAACAGTTTATGGATTTTTTTTATATCAGGCGATTATCAGGCACGAGGGACGGTATTCAAAAAAGGCAACATATTGTATGTCCATTCCAAAAGTAGTAACATTCGACTCAGTTACAGAAAGAAAACAGAAAGTTTTTGAAAAAAGAAATAACATTTTGAGGCTTTATAGACTTTTAACTATTTAAGAATTATCGGTTTGATTATTAGAAAGGACTAACTTTGAGAATTTGGCTCCCTATAAAATGCTAGAGGCATTTTGTAGTATAAGTGGTATCTTGGTGTATATAACCTATTTAAGGTATGCTGAATCCGGTAAAAGTGGATACCAAATTGAAAATCTTGATCTTGACCATTGAAATGGCCATTTAAAATGACCACTAAAATGGGCGCCAAATTTCGTAAACATGAAATGGATGATATATCAAATGGATGATATATCAAATGAAACTTTTAAGGAAAGGAAAAGCCTGAAACTTGTCACAAAGCATGTTTAGGTAAAAACAAATTAGACTAAAAAACAAAACAATCCAATATGACCGAATAATCCAAGATGGTGGACATTTTCCTAAAGGCCAATATTATAGTAATACAGAAGTAATATTAAAGATAGTACTGAAAATTTTGAGGCATTTAAACACAAGAGACCTGTATTTAGGGCTTTTGCAGCAAACACTACACTCTTCCCTGCCCTATCTGCTAGATATAGAGCTTTCATGTATTTTATCTGGCACTCTATGCAAGCATATAACGTGACTACCCAGATTCCTACTGGCGTATGTGTGAGGAGATTAAACATGTGCATGCAAAATATACATTAATTAAAGGCACCTTTCTCTGAGTACTCTTGGCTTTTGATGCTCGTTTTTCTCTTATCGGTCGTCGTCTTCGTTCTTCTGTTTTCGGTCGTCGTCTTTGTTCTTCTGTTATTGGTTCTCGTCTTCGTTCTTCTCCGTTCATCTCTATTCTTCTGTAATCAGTCCTGGTCTCCGTTTTATTGTTATCAGTTCTTCTGTAGAAGGTTTCCGTCTCTGGAATCAGTCCTCGTCTATGTTATTCTGTTATCGGTCCTCGTCTGTATTTTCCTGTTATCAATCCTCGTCTCCGTTGCCTTGTTGACAGTTCTTCTGTTATCGGTCCTCGTCTCCGTTGTCTTGTTGTCAGTTCTTCTATTATCGGTCCCTGTGTCTGTTCTTCTGTTATCGGTCATCGTATATGTTCTTCTGTTATTGGCAGACGTCACTGTTTGCTTGTTGTCAGTTTTTCTGTTCACGGTCCCTGTCTCTCTTCTTCTGTTTTCGGTCATAGTATATGTTCTTCTGTTATCGGTCCTCGTCTCTGTTCGCTTGTTGTCAGTTTTTCTGTTATCGGTCCCTGTCTCTGTTCTGCTGTTATCGGTCCTCGTCTATGTTTGCTTGTTGTCAGTTCTTGTATCCGTTCTTCCTTCTGTTATCGGTCGTCGTCTTCGGTCTTGTACTTTCGGTACTTGTTTCCTGTTCCGTTAAGGTCTTCTCTTGTATCTATCGTTGACGTCATGCTATGTCGATGTTCTGGTTTTGTCAGTCTTGTAGTCATTTATTCGTTCAGTGGAGTAGCGGGGGATCGAACTCACGACCCCTTGATTTGTAGGCAGACAGTGTCACCACTGCACCATAGCGCCCGCTCTGAATAATAACCATTTTTGAAAGTCCTTTATAAGTATATAAAACGAGCACGCTCCTGCAAATTCCTTTCTGATCCAGACTCTGAGGCTCTCAAGCTGTCCCGAAGTAACACGGGATAAAAAACGACTGCCAAGATACTTTACTCTTATTTTGTTTCTCTACTAACCAAAGGTAGTGAGTGTTTTATTTAAATATACATAAAGAGCTAATTTAAAGTAATAAATTATTTGAGTGGTGCTTTCTCTTTAATTTTTTCTAGATTCCATGTACAGATCAATTTTGTGTATGACCACGTGTTGTGTGCTTTGGCAAAATAAATAAAATTTTAGCCTGAAAAAGGTCCGACGCAGTTTCGGACGATACTTTGAAAGAATAGCTAGCAAAAAAAAGACAAAAAAAAGAAGACAAATACATAAAAAGGAAAAAGAAAAAAGTTTATGACGTCATCGGTTGTGACGAAACGGATGCTAATTGTGCTGCTGCTGATTTAATAAACTAAATTTATCATTATTCATATTTTCGATTTCACGGTGCGTACGCATCGTGGATTTTATGGGTTTTTTTAAGATATCTAAGTCTAGTTTAGAATGATTTAACAGGTCGATAATTCGTACCAGTAAGCAATAACAAAGATAATTTAATTACAAACTGTTGATGGTTCATGTTACTTTACATTACCTTTACGGATTATAAGGAATGATCAAGGGCGTAGCGCCCATTACGCACAATACGCAATTGCGTATAAAAAAAAAATTCGGAAGGTAAAAAAATAAAGTTGAGAAAATCTAAGTTTTAATGATTTTATCGCTATAATGTAAATCTAGATCTCCATTTCTGTTTACAAAATATTTCGTTGCGTCATACTGTTTACTAGTGTAAACTATGATTGCGTCACTCTATTATTAATTATCGTAATATATGTGCAATAGGAATTTAAGTTTCTCGTTAACTCGAAGCATTTACAAACTTATTGCACAGAGATAAATGAAAAGCAGCATTAATTTATTTACAATTTAGATAATAACTTATCGTTGGTAAAATTCTCAGAAAATAAAGATTATTAAGACTTTTCTTAAAGATTAAGACAAATCCTCTCTAAATCGTTCCTTTGGAATAGCTATATTTTAAAACGACTTTAAATCTTTTAAGTTTTAGAAACATCAACTCGGGGCAAAATTTAATTTTTGGTGTGTTGTTAGTTGTCAAAATGAAAAGAAACATCCTCCAAATTCCAGGACAAGCGACCCTATTCAAGTCGATAATGAATCTGACCAGGCAGAAACAAAACAGAATTCACAAAACCTGGCATGTGAACCTCCTGTGATCAGCAAACCAGACGCCAGTGTCGCGTCTCCTTCTTTCCCTTCTTCTTCTCCCTCCACCTCCTCCTCTTTGTCTTCCCCTTCTTCTTCTCCCCTCGAGAACCGTTAAAAGCTCCCCCGGAGCACGATTCCTGGATATCGGAAGTGTTGATATCAGAAGCCGACTAAGAATACCTGATTCTAAAAAAATGTTGTCCTCAACGAACGGTTCGAGCCACATACAGGTTGGGTTGCACCTCTCAGAGAACTCGAAAAAGGGCAACAAGTAGGCGAGTGCCGGACTGTGTGTTTGAGCAAGAGAAGCACCCACCTACTTAAAGTACATCCCTTTATTTAATGGGGGTATTTTGTGCTCCATGTTTTGCCTTTAATGCGTCTGAAAATGTGCTTGTTGCTTGTCCGTTGATTGACTGAAGCAACGCTAGAAAAGTCGTTGATGGGCACACATGAGTTCTGAACAGAGAGGCGTTAGCAGCCATTAAGGCCACATTTTTGTTGGCAACAAGATATATCTATGAGTAAGTCCGTTAATTTCTCATCACCGCCTGAGGAGACCTATGGGGTGATCTTTAGACCATTTAATATCTCGTTGTATCTGGTAATTTCCCTACTTTCTTATGATGATATAGAAGTGTT